ATACTACTTGAGGCAACTTAATGTTGTATACAGAGTGAAAACTGAGTGCGAGTCAGGTAACATCTCAAAGACAGTTTTTGCACTGTAAAATGAGAAAGCACAAACAGAGTTTCAGTTAAGAGTGTGACAGATCAGGCAGATGCAATGGCACCAGACAGCTACACAAAACAATGATGAATGATGAACCAGGATACAAACATCATGAGCAATATCCTGACCATGCTGTTTAACTCAAACTTAAAAGTAACCCACTCACTGCTATTGCCTGAAGCAATAAAGCACAAGCTAAGCTCCCTCTCTAAAGCCATACATCAGCCACCTGACATCTATCAAGTTTTTTTGATATCTACCGCAAATTAGCTCAGCCAAAGATGTCTATTGATTCTAAAACAGATGAACATCATGATTTTTTGGGCCATACGTGGACCTCTTTGATACTGGTATAGATAATTGTAGGTATAGATGTAGATCTCTTTGATACTGTCTATCAAACAGTTTATCTTTGTGTGTCTGTCCCCTAACCGGGGAACATGCACTTCTCTCACAGCTGGGCCCTTTTCAGCTGCATCAGCACTTCTAACCTGGCCCCAAAGCTGCAGCAGTGACAGAGGGCTGGGGTTATCCTCTCTCCCGGGGGCAGCCTGCATACTGAACCTCTCATCCCCAGCCTCATTCCAGAACAATGATTTAAATGAAGAAAAACAGAAATTATTTCAGTTAAGGACTCTAGAAACACGAGGAAAATCTCCTAATGAATAATATCCAGATAGTGAAAAAAACACTTGTTGGTTACTGGTATCTTTGGGAATTGTGGATATTATGCGAAAATATTGAGTTTTGAAACAGTTATGTATATATCATATAAGTGTTATTTATTATTACATCTTCACATACTAGTAAATAATTATTAATTCTAATTTATGCAGATGTCTTCCTGCCTGCATAAATAAGGACACTTGTGAAAGTAATGGATCTTTGGTCATTTCCAGAACAACTGTGATGTAAAAAAGAGGATTGTATTTTAGGTTCATTTGGAATTATCAGACAAAAAATACCTTGTTTTCAAAAACAAGGGTATCACAAGGCCAGAGTAAGAGAGATACAGAAAATATGACATATCAAACTAATGATGGTGGATAACATTTTTAAAAAGTTTTCCATAAAGCACAGCTACTCTTCAGCATAGTTTTTTTTTTACATTATCGTATAATCGTTATACTTTCACAGTTATGTCCCCAATGCTATTTGCAATGTTTTCCTGGCTTGCAGAAGCATGACCTTGAGCTATAAACTTATCAGAACTCATACACTAAGAGGGGTGGAACTTAGTATCTAGAGTTCTCCCAAGTAACGGGTGCTGCAGCACAGGAGGAAACTCTTTCCTCTGAATCAGTGATTCTTAGCTTATTTACCACTGTGGGCTGGATATGAAGCTCTCTCTGTGTTATCTGGTCCACATACATACAAACTATTATACATATACAGCCGCTCCCCGAGTTGTGAATGGGAGCAGTCGTAAAGGCGGTCCCCGAGTTACAAATGCGACCCGCGCTTACTAACAGTGTGGTCGCATGTAACTCAATAGGGTCCGAGTTACGAACAGCTCATAACTCGGAGCGAGGCTGTATATGTATACACACACTACTTGTACGGCTCTGAGATGTTACATGGACTTCACGAGTGCTGACGTGTCCCCCAGGTTGCAGATTGTGAACTACTGATTGAACTGACCAAGGCTCCTGCATGATGTTAGATTAACCCTGTTCGATAGGAGATACTATCTTCTGTTTATTCTAACACCACTGGCACTTTTCACAAGGGTAGGTCAGATGTATTAGACTTGGCTTACTAGCATAGCAAGAGTCAATGTGGCAATTACATTGTGCCAGTCTAAAATACAGTTTCAATTTCATATAGTAGTATTTACTACCTGTCCTAAAGTCTTGTGTACCATTGGTTGGCCTGTACACCTAATTTGTACACTCCATTGCAGAAGTAGCTGCATTTCAGTGTTAAGTTAATAAATTCAATATATTTGAAGAGCAAGATTCATAAAGCTTACTGTTGATTCTGGGGGCCCAATCTGAGACATCTTCAAGAAACCAGATTGAGAGGAAATACTATGCACCCATCCTCTAAGAAACAGACCTCTTAAAGGTGTTTCAAATTAGGTTAACAAAAGAGGGAGCATCCGAATATCACTAGTCAAGTTTGAAAATCTTCACAAAGCTGGTAATGTTTCAGAATATAAAAACAGCGAACAAATATAAAGAAGCAAAGTAGATGAGTGTATCCATCATAATGGGGAGGTTCCAATTTAATTTCCTCTCAGGTGATCAACTGTTTTCAACAAGTGGCTTGTACATTTTGTAAGAGACTCTCTCAACTAATCAATTAGTCAAAGAAAAATCAACAGGAAAATCATATACAGGTTGGACTTCCTAGACTGGCACCAGTGGAACCTGAGTGGTCCCAAACCAGGGAGTTTGCAAAATCAAAGGAGACTAATGCTCTCCTGCTGGCCTCTGGCCCTGCTCCCGGGCTCCCCACACTGCTGCTGGCACCACTGATGTTGGCTTGGCTGCGGGTATCAAAGCCTGGGCTGCCCACCCTGCTGCCTGCTCTGCTGATAGCAAGGGTTCCCAGACTGGGACTGCTTGACCACCACCGGCCCCACTGTTTGGTCCAGGAACATCCGTGGTCTTACTCGACCATGGATATCGCAGGACCAGAGAGAGTCCCAGATTTGAGAGGTTCAACCTATAGTTTGTTCATAAAGAAGAACTCGAATACTCTAGAAAATTGACTTTTGTAGTATTGTAATTATTAAATGATAGCAGATAAAAAGTTTAAACAGAACAGCAAAGGAACTTGCAAGCTTTAATAATTTAATTTTTACTGACGAGCTAAGATAAAATTGTGAAATCTTGGAAAAAAATCAAATTGATCTGTACATACAAGTTTCCTCTATTGTTTGAGAATCTCTAAACTTCATTTTTTAATATACAAACTTATCATTAAATCAAGTATAATCTTTGGGAAGATTTACTTTTCCCTCATCTCCCTTCAACTAGCACAGAGAAAGCTAAAACCTAATGTACAGTAGGCACAAATAGTTTTAGAAGGCAATTGGATTATTTGCATTCATTTCTTTGTGTATAAAAGTAATAAACTCATCTATCGGCTTTTAACAACAAATGAAAATTTCAAGTTGTCTTAGTTGCTATTAGGATGATATACTTTCATCCCGTGTCACATGCTCCTCTATGAGTGCCCGGATAAATGCCATTTAGCATCACTCCATTTTTTCACTGAGCTAGACTGAACATAAATATTACAGCATGCTTAGATATTATATGACTAAAAAGCATGCTGCAATAATTTAAAGGACATAATGGATTACAGAACAAGACCTTTTATTGTAGGGATGGACTTTGGTCAATTTTAACTGTAATCATAACTTGCTTTTCAGCATTAAGTTATAAACTAAAAGTGCTCCTAACCATTAAACAGTACCTGGAGATCATGCTAGAAAAAGGCTTGTGACCAGTACTTCACTGGTATAAATGGATTATATGACCCTAGAGCATATTCTTCAGCACTTTCCATTAGGGATGTGACTGGTTACCTGGTAAGCATCACCCTTACTGGATGATGTGTATAGTAACCAGTTAACAGGTGCCCTGGGGCAGCCCCTTGCCCATGGCCTGCCATGCGTATAGGGCTACTCCAGTCCTGCCAGCCCACTGTGGAGCAGGTCAACAGCCAGCAACCCCATGGGTCCAGGAGCAGGAGCCCCGAAGGCCTGGCAGAGCTGGCAGCCCTGAACCAGCAGCCAAAGGGAGCTGGCGGAAGTGACAGCCCTTTCCCTCCACCCCCCTGCAGGATTCCGCTTAACTGGTTAAACTTAACATTTAACTAGTTTACTGATTAGATGAGATTTTACATCCCTACTTTTCAATAGACTAGTTTTAAAGGTCTTTGGTGATGGTGTTTCTACCACTAGCTTCGAGAAGCCATTCTACAGTCTAATAATCTTACAGGTTCACTAGGTCAATATACCTAATGAGGATGGATAAGAAAATAGGCACTCATACAACCCCACATGAACCCATTCTAAAAAAAAAGGAAAAATGGCTGCAAAATGAGCAAAAGAAGACTGAAATAAAAAGATAGGGAAGAGAAGATAAGTAATAATCTAAAAGTCTATTTCTTTAGACTTAATTCTTTTCAAAGAAGGACAGCTTAGCTTTTAATTTGAACCACAATTAATTGTTCAGTATTGCAATTATTTTAGAAAATAAGAACATAGATAAAGATATATATCCATCTTGCCTTACATGAGTGAACAAAACTTCATTCTTGATCTCTTCAATACTTTCATTCGGGGTCCAGGCTTCAGCAAAATTCAAGAAATCCCACTTTTCCTTATCACCTTCTTCAGCTTGCAGTTTCTCCTTCTTACCATTCAATGTGCTGCCTGTAACTTTGGCCTGCAGACAGAGGAATTTCATCATTTCACACTTTGGAGTAAATTTAGTTGCCCAAGTTTAGTACGTGTTTTTAAAAAATAGCTAACAATCTATAAAGCTAGCATGTGATCATCGTTCACATCCTCTGTTAAGACTGACTAGTGCCACAATGTCAAGATGAAATCTATTACTTTATGATTACTTGGCAATGGGACAGTCGGGACAGTCAATATTTATTGATAAATACTGCAACACTTAAATAACATAAGCGTATGTCCCTTCCCCAAAGCCTTTATAGGTTTGTGACACTTCTTGGAATAGCTGGGGTTGTGAGGCACCTTGATAGTATCTGCTCTCAATGTGGGCAAGGGTCAGCTCTGACTCTTCCAGCCACAAGCAACACCTTGTGCCTTTTACAACATCCCTCACCCATTCCAAAACCCACAGGGCACTGTGCAATAGGAAAAAAACCCAAATACAATAGAATAAAGGATGGGATCAAATTCCATAAACTAACAAGTACTGAAGCAAAAGCACAGTTAACTCCTGACTTAAAGAATCTTTAAGTGGCAGGTGCATTAAATTGTAATGAGATTCAGGTACTTAGCTTCCTGAGACTCCTTTGTAAATCCCAACTTAAACTTTAAAAGCCATGTGTCTTTCTAGGTATGACTGGCTGCTGTCCCCAGGGACTATCGAATAGTTGTGTAACTGCTAAAATTTGATGCAGTTACACGACTATTCAATTACATGCTATTTAACATCCCTAAAAGCAACATATGGATCAGTCATATCAAAAGCTACTGCAAAGTCTGGTATGACCAAAATAATCATCCGATTCTGATCTAAAGCCAGCAGGAAATCAATCATGATCCTGAGACTAGCGGTGTCAGCTTCAAAGGAAGTCAAATGTAGAGTGGAACTAATGAAGGATGCTAGGTATCCAAATATGTGTGGAATCGAACAGCCATCACCTTCTCAGTCACTCCTTAGAAAAAGACTAAGCAGTAATTGACAAGCATAATTCCTGGAGGGAATTCAATGTTGGTGCACATGCACAGAATTTATAGACCCCTGTAGATTTCTGTGCATTTGTGCAGAAAAATTATTTCCGACAGAGAAGCAAAGGGAAGCCACAAAAACCCTTATGAGACAGGCAGTGCAGGCAGGTTGGTTTGGGTACCCAGACACACGTTGTCCCCCTCACTCACTATTGTGGCATGCTTGGCATGGAGGGGAAGGACTTTGGAATGGCAGAGCAGATTGTATCAGACTACCTGCTTAGTGAATTGTTACCATTGTTCTAAATGCATTCCCCCCAGAACTATAAACAGATGTACAAATTTTACAGCTCTTTTATACACTGCCAGAGTGGTGTATAGGAAATGTATTGTAAAGGACAGCATGGCCGTATAAACACACTTATGGTCCTACAGATAAGTGGTTTTCAAACTATGGGTCGTGACCCAGTAATGGGTTGTGGAATGTCAAGCACTGTGCCCCATAAGTGACAGGCAGCAGGCCCAGCTTGTAGGTTGGGGAGGGGGAGAAAGCGCACAGGGTTCCACGCACGGCCGCTGCCCTGAACACTAGCTCCACACTCCCATTGGCTAGGAACCTGCTGCTGGCTGCTTCTGGGGCGCAGCATCGTCTATGGTGCCAGGAGAGGCAGGAAGCCTGCTTTAGTATCCCACTGCACTGCTGACTGGGAACTGCTCAAGGCAAACCCCTCCTGCCCCAGCCTTGAGCCCCCCCCAAAGCCAAAGCTCCCTTTTTACACCCCAAAGCTCTCATCCTCAGTCCCATTCCAGAGCCCACATTCTAGTCGCAGGGATCAACCATGTTCTTCAACTGGGTCATGAGAAAAAAGTTTGAAAACTGCTGCTATAGATATTAGAACTGGTTTAAATGTTTGTATTTAAAAAAAAATACCAACCAATAACTGTCAAAATCTTCTCTATGAAATATTTGCTACTGCCCTTGGGCCCTAGCCTTCATTTGCTCTTCAGTTGCCTACACTGCCCATATGGCTGCATATATCTGTTAAATAATCTGTATCTATACATTTTAGAAATGTCTGTCTGAGAGTCTGTTCAAGGAAAATGAACCTGCCTGTTTAAAAATGTTCAGCAGCCTTTCTGAAAGAAATACAAGACAAATGGTGCACAACAGTTCAGACATGTTCATGTGTCATAGTGGCACTTTTCTGAAGGTATCATCTTGTACTCTCGAGTTCCAGGTTGAAGGGTGTATTGGTGGTTTTTTAAGTAAAATAATAGTTATGGTCAGAAATGAGGAAAGAGTAAATGAAGCTGAGCTTTTAACAGCCTGAAAAATTTAGTTCACATGTTCATTGATAGTTTAAATGTCAACAATTTGAAATATGTTATTTTTTACTGCCACAGATTTACATAATTTACTCTGAGAGTTGCACCTAATTTTGGTGTCCCAAGTAACTGGTGTTTAAGAGATTTCCCCCTGATCCGACCATGTCAAAAAGGAGCCAAACCCCAAGAGGCTGGCAGAGTCCATGGTCATATTCAAATCCTACCAAGTTGCAGCCAGTGTTTGCACAACATATTTTGAGCAGCATCTCATTTTGGTAACATACACCTGTTAGAGGTTTTTAAACTATCACAACTGGCTATTAACTCTTTCCAAACTTTGATGTGAGTATTTCTAAAATCATCATCTTTCCAGATTCAGTTTCCACAGTTTTCTAATAGAAGCTTCAGTTAACATTTTCCAGGATGAAAAGTAGCAGTTTTAAAAAAAAATTCATCCAACCCATAGCTATTTCACAGTTATAGTGGAAAGAGAGAAATAAATGTTTTGCAATGTTTATCTTGTGTATTACATCAGCATTCTGGCTCTTACTGAATCCTTGAATGATCTTTTCTTCTCTGTTTGCATCTTAAAATACAAAACATACTTGTTTTGCTTCTTCTCTTTTCTGCTGCCCTTTCCTAAGATAGTTACCTGTTCTGTAACTGGCGTTCTTTGAGATGTGTTGCTGATGTCCATTCATCATAGGTGTATGTGCCTGCCACATGCACTGGTGCTGGAAGTTTTTCCCTAAGCAATACCTGTAGGGACCAGGATCCCCAGTGCCACCTGGAGTGACACACGCACACTATATAGGGCGCCCCCGGCCTCTCCCTCCTCAATCCCTTTTTGCCAGAACTCAAATAGAAGGGAGGAGAGTAGGAGGTTGAATCGACATGAGCAACACATCTCAAATAACATGTTACAGAACAAGTAACTGTCTTTTCTTCTTTGAGTGCTTGCTTATGTCCATTCAACATAGGTGACTGTAGGTAGTGTCTGCAGAGGGGGGTAGGAGTTATGGGAATGCAGAATGCAGTACAACCCTGCCAAACACAGTAACATCCCTGGCCTGCTGCGTGATGGCATAATGAGGCTTGAAGGTAAGTACAGATGTCCATATCACTGCTCGACAAATGTCCTCGATTGGAGTGGGCCTTAACTCCGGTGGCTGGGCCCCTGCCAACTCGTAGCACATGCAGACACAGGAAATGACCCATTTGGACAACTGCTGGGAGGACATCGAGGAACCCCTCCTGTGCTCTGCACAGGCCATGAAAAACTGGCATACCCTGTTTCCCAGGATTGCTGGATTAAAGAGGTTCAAGTATATTAGTATGATGCCCCTGTACAGAATCCTCTACAGCAAACACCTTGAGTATGGTGGATTGCTAATACACAGCACTTTGTGGATTACTTTTAGTTTTATTCCAATATATACCTTTCGATTTAACATTGCCCACATAAGAGGATCCAAAGTTCCTTTTGCAATGAGGTAGTGGATGTTTACAGAACTGCATTGTCCAATTCGATGTGCTCGGTCTTCTGCTTGCTTCATGTGTCCAGGGTCCCAATATAACTCAGCAAACACGATGTGAGTGGCAGCAGTAAAAGTTAATCCCTAAGCAAAATTAGTAAAAGCAATGTTGGTTCACTGATTTCTAAAATGCAAGAAGAGAAGATGTGACTCTTCAAACACACAAGGAAATTTCAGTAAATGACTGAACTTCAAAAGGGAACTATTACAAATTACAGAAAGTATTTTTTAAATGGCAATAAGATATGGGACGGACAAGGTGGATAAGGTAATATCTTTTATTGGATCAACTTCTGTTCCTGAGACAAACTTTTGAGCTTACATACAACTCTTCTTCAGATACTGGGATACCTGGTCAGCAGATGATTCATAAGTATATATTTTTTCAAAGGCAAGTCAAGGCATTTTGCTTCTTGTTGCAAGTAAGGATTATTAATTTTATAGCTGCTGAATTAAACAGTAACCCATACCAATTGTACTGAAGTATTAATTCTAGCACTGAAAATGGGTATAAGACAATAAATACTTCTGAAGTACTTGTGCCCATGTCAGATGAAATAGTGACAGTTGGAAACAGCAGTATTGTGTAACTGCCATCACATTGCTTTCCCCAGCAAAAAACAGTGGAAAGTGACATTTGCTTCTTATTACATTGGTGCTTTACAAACAAATGAACTCACATCACCATCCTATTTAAGTACTGGCTGACTATTTTCTTGCTTTGGCTCTGTAGAAATAATTTAAATGTCAGTTCAGAACCGATTACATGGTTGGTGCTAAATTGGTTAATGAGAACAAAAGCCTCATGATGTAAGTCACTTATAGTAAGACATCTTCACGATCATACTTGTATGCTTGGTCTTTTTAAAACTTTATACTTCAAATTGCATTGGTCAATATATCTTCCCCCGCCCCCAGCCTTACCTGACCAGCAGCCTGAATGCTCAAGATGGCCACACGAGTATCAGGATCCTTCTGAAACTGATGGACAAGATGGATTCTTTCTACTGAAGGAACACTTCCATCTATCCGAATGTAACGTGCCTATTATGTACCAGAATAAATGCAAATTTACATGATGATGACAATATTTTACACAAAAAGAATCTTTTTTCAATACTATTAAAAAACTGGGAAACAGATTTTTTTTCCTACTCCTAGCTCAGGACCATATGCAAATCACTTAATGCCTCTGTGTTTGCATCTTTTATGACTATAAAAGAAGGATAAGCATTTTACCAACCACACTGGGAATTCAATGAGGCTTAATTAATTTATTGATGTTTGTAAAGTAATAAGGCATCTTAAAATGGAAGGTATTCGAGAAGAATAGTACATTATTTCACTTTGACAAGTATTTATTAATATTCTCTTTAATGCCAACCACCATTTTGTGTGCTATTACAATACAATGAAATAGTAAACCATTTTTAGCACTGGACAAAAGGACTTACTCTACAAAAGTACAATAGCAAGGGATCTGGCATTACTGTTCCAGTTATAAGTGTTTACATTATTTCCCAAATATTCTACAACCATGTGAAATCCTTTCAATACTGACTGTGGCTGTGATCCTACAAACACTCATAGGAATAACTGTGAACTCATGGAGATATGACAGTGCCTAAGTGTTGGCTGTATTGGGGCCTAATATAATCTTTGGAAGAGGTCACTTTTAAACTTTATGAAGAACATTTAAATATTTAAAAATTACCTTGTTTTCTATGGCAGCTTCTGTACAAGCTTGGAGCATGCTTAAGTGGTGAGCAAAAACCAGAAACTTAAGTTTGTCATTCTCGAGCATCATTTTGATATAGTCCTTTACCGCTCCTGCCTAGGGCACAAGAAACAGTGCAATTTTATTAGTTCAATAGACAATAAGAAAAATTTATACAGTGACGGTTTCTGTTTTAGTACCTCCTGTGATGTAGCTTTTATATTAGGAGGACAGACTATTTTTTAAACTCGCATGAGTCATGTTCTAAGAGAGAAAAGCCTTTCCAGATATTGTCTTCATTATCTTAATGACCCTCTGTTCCTTTATAAGTTTCTCTTATCTTTAAAGGGTTTGATAGTTTAATGGTGCTTGAAAAGGATTCAAATGCAATATTTAAATTTCCTTCAGCTAATAAGATGACAACTCAGATTGATTATTTAATATGCTGATAATCTAATGAATATCTATTGATTTCTGTCCTAAAGATATTTAAAGGGAGACTAACAAAAATGCATTAAAATATGCTGCTTCCCTAGTACCACTGATTAAATTGGAAAGAATAATCCAATTTATTTTCCTTTTTCTACTCACATTAGGTTTGCAAAATATTTAAAAAGCTTCGTAAACTAATGTAATTTAAAAATGATTACTATGATATTGGTATTGATATATTATCAATGGAAGATTATTCCAATTAAGTATTTGATACAGAAGGCTATACTCTTTGACTGTAATATCATTAATATAAAGCAGTGGTCTCCAACCTTTTTACATCCAAGATCACTTTTTAAATGACAGATCAAGCTAAGATCTACCGCCCCGCCCCTTCCTTGAAGCCCCGCCCTCTCTATTCTCCTCCTCTCCATCACTTGCTATCCCCAATCCTTATACTGCTGCTTTTTTAAAAAGGTTTTTCCAACATTTGGAAGAGGTTTTTCAACATTTGGAAGTGGTGCTCAGCCAGGGTGCACCACACTCCACGTGGGCTGGTGCTGAGGGGAAGCTGCCTGGCCAGCTGGCTGTGACCTTCAGCCAGGAGGAGACTGAACTGCGCTCCAGCTGATCGGGCAGCTTCCCCTCTGCTCCTGCCCACATGGAGCTTGGTGCATGCTGGCTGAGCGCCATGGTCAGCTGGCCGGGAAACCGCTTCTCTTCACTCCCGCCCAGCTGCCCTACACTCAGCCCGGGAAGCTTGCTCCAGCACACCGGGCGGGAGCGAAGAGAAGTGGCTGCCCGGCCAGCTGGCCATGGCGCTCAGCCAGTGTGCACCAAGCTCCACGTGGGCAGGCACAGAGGAGAAGCCACCGATCAGCTGGAGCGTGGGGCAGCCTCTTTCAGCTGAAAGCCACAGTCAGCTGGCTGGGGTGTTTCAGCCCTCCCGACCTCCCAGCTCCCACCATTCCTTGCAGCTACTCACCTGTGTTGTTGCTCGGTGAGTAGCTGCTCCTCAAATGAGGAAATCTAATGTAAATTTACTGAGCAGGTGCGCAGTTCAGAGAGGGCTCAAGAGCTACTCTTAGAGCCCCTGAGATCTACCGGTAGATCGCGATCTACTGGTTGGTGACCACGGATATAAAGGATAATTTATTACCTAAACAAGGCCAAGTGATTTAAAAAATTAACAGTGATTAATCACACTGTTAAACAATAACAGAATACCATTTATTTACATATTTTTGTATGTTTTCTACATTTTCAATATATTGATTTCAATTACAGCACAGAATAGAGTATACTGTGCTCACTTTATTTTTATTTACATTATTCCTCAATGTATTGTAGTGCAATCTCTATTATGAAAGTTGAACTTACAAATGTAGACGTATGTAAAAAAAAACTGCACTAAAAAACCCTTGTAGTCTCTAACCCTTCAGAGACTACAAGTCCATTCACTTTTACTTCTTGTTCGGCCAATCAGTCAGTCAGTCAGGTCAGTCAGTCAAACAAGTATCCAGTGTTGGGGGGAGGACAGCGGTGGGGGAAGTAAGCAATTATTTGTGCAGGAGAAGGATCTGGGAGGACAAGGGTAACAATGGGGACCAGCAAATAATAACTGAGGTGTATTGCTGCTGCTTCTGGAAGGGTGGTTTCTGGTACTGGTTTCACATCTAAGAAAGGTCTTGGTACCAACACACTCCCCACATATTACAAGGATATACCAACGAGGTTGAGAATAGGGTATGGGGCAGGAAACCTTTTTTGGGTTGGGGGCCACTGACCCACAGAAAAATCAATTGGGGGCTGCACACCTCATTGATGTGGTCACCAAACTAATAAGGAGAAAGACACTCCCCACTTTCCCCTTGCACAGCAGAACCTGGGAGGGTGAAGGGAAGGCAGCCTAGTAGATGTTGGGTGCTCCAGCCCTGTGGTGGAGTGCCGGGGGAGCTGGAGTATCAGTGCAGGCTCCCCAATGCTGGGAGGTACCATGAGACTTAGAGGCTGGATCCAGGCAACCCAGGGGCCGGATCCAGCCCCTGGGCCTTAGGTTCCCCACTCCTGGTCTAAAATGACAGCATGATGGATAGAGATGTTTTTCTTGGGTGGTGCCCTTTATTGGACAGCCCCTGAGCCATTCGGCCGTAGATGTTGGCGTTCCTGCGCCGCGTGTGCAGAGCCTGGACCGCTTCCTCCTCCCCCCACAGTTCGAGCAGTGTCAGGACCTCTGGCCCTGACCAGGCTGGGGCTCTCTTTTTCTCGGCTATGGGCACCAGGGCTGGCTCCCTCGAAGGTCCTTGGGGGGGGAGGGGCTCATGGCTCTGGAGCTGCACACATGGCCACGTGCAGGTGAAGCTGGGAGAGCTCTGTGCTGACAGGCTTCCTCTGTGGCCAGCTTCCTGTCACAATGCCTGCCAGGGATGTCTGTGCCTTTAAAACATGGCTAGAGACAGGAACAAGAGGAGGGTTTTCCTGAAGAAGGACTGTCCAGCAGGGGGTTTCCTTGGAGGTATTTTTCTGTCAACAAAAGAAACCCCCGCGTCCAGACTGTCCTTTATGTCGACAGAACTCTGTCAACAAAGGCATTATGCCTCGTAAAATGAGGTTTACCCACGTCGACAAAACTGCTGAGTTCTGTCTACGTTATGTCGACAGAACTCAGCAGTAGTGTAGACGCAGGGATACTTTTGTCGACAAAACCCTGTAGTCTAGACACACCCATAGAGCTTGATGATTTTCAGGCACAGTGAAAAGTATCCACTTAGTAGTAGAGAGCAAATTGGCAGTGAAACTGACTCCCAAGGGTGGTCAAAGCACAAGCATTGTCATTTCTGGCATCTAAGCAGAACATCAGACTAGAAGTTCAAGTAGTCTCTTCTTACTAAACATATATAATGCTGTTTAGAATTCTGAGATTGATGAAGTCTGGCAAAAGAGCTTTGCCAATTTATTTCTCTATCGGATAGCTTACATTTGTTCTTATTATACTGGACAATCCAAATTATCCAAAAAATTTCACATAATTAGCTAGACACCTCTAATACAAATGTGGGAAGTTATGAGGACCGAAGATCACCCAAATGCCCAACTGTCCAAATTCTCTGAAGCATGCCAAGTCTACTAGTTAAGTAACTATGCACTGAAAACCCACAATATAAAAATAGTAGAAAGAGAGAATTAAAACACACAATTAAATATATGTTTAAAAGAAAACTACAAAAATTGTCATTACCTTAGCAATGGCTGTTTGTTTATACAGGTGTGTAATCTGACCCATGACTTGAACAAAGTGGCTTTCAATGACATCTGATTTTGGAGCCCTCATTAATTTCTCCCACTCTTCAAAACTGGTATTCAGTTCCTGAGTGCGAGGGCAGAACAATGTTTAGAGGAACAATATAAATGGCACAACAATTACTGTTTCTGTAAATTATGTCCTACTTCCTACCAAAAGGGAAGGTAAGGGAGGAGATTATATCCATAAATGCCAGGCTTTTTCCCCAGAAAAATATCAGTGCAGAGTTAATATAATGACATACTAAAACACATCAATGGTAAGATTTAGATTTAGTCTATCAGCCAAGATGACCCCAGGAAACTTATTTAAGTAAAAATACAATGTAACAGTTATCAGCCCTTCAAAATACTTTCCTTTGTTAAAAATAAACTAAACAAAAACATTAATTCTACTTGATTTATCTAATGACAACCCAAGTAACACTGAAATACAATCACATATTCATAGGACTGGAAGGGGCTTTGAGAGGCAGGACTAAGTGTTATCTCGACCAGGGGTTCCCAAACTTTTTGACACGGGGACGAGTAAATCCATTTATAGTAGAGATTATACTGACATCCCTAATTGTATTAAATGTGGATTTGTGCCAAGATGTACAGGCAGAAGCTGCATAATCAAGAGCACTTTTTTATATATACAGCAAGACAAAAAAAGTCTATTTCTTTTAGGTACACATTTTGCTAGTTTATTCAAGCAAAAAAATAATCTCGAGTTGACATATGCAATGCACTGTACTGTTTGAGTACTACTCTGAAATAGGGATGTGGGTAGTTGGCTCTCTGATAAACTCATGCTTATTGGGTAGTTGAGTCAACTACTCTCATTTCCCCCCCTCCCCAGCCTTGCTGCCTCTGTATCAGAAGCAACAAGGGGCGGGGAGAAGCAGGAGCCAGTGCCGGGGGGCTTTCTCCCTCCCTCACCCTCACTATTGCCTCTATCATAGGCAGCAGTGGGGGGAGGAGGGAGAGAGAAGGGGAGCCTGCCGCGAAAGCAGCCCATGTTTGCGGGGGATCCCAGGTCCCTGCTGGATCTGACATGAGCGGGGACTGGTCAAGCCTGACTTAGTCCCAGCTTACACTGGGTTCGGGACCTACCCCAGCTGCGGCTCTGCAGTTTAAATGTAGTAAGAGCTAGGCTGCCTGCCCGCCTGGCTCTTACTACATTTAAACTGCAGAGCCACAGCGGGGGTAGTTCCCGGACCCAGCGCGAGCTGGGACTAAGCACCTTCCTCTATCGACTAATCGTGTAGTCAATACAAATTCTATCAACTACACGATTAGTTAAATACCTGCTTCTTAACATCCTTACTCTGAAACTGAAATTGAATGTAACTGTCCACTTATTAAGTGGTGCATCATCACACAGAACACAAACATAAGAACATTGGTTGTGCAAAAAGAGAACTTGGAGAAGAAGTGCTGGCCAGGCATTTTCTGTTGAAGGATTGCTGGGTTTGGAACTCTCTCACCTGTTGATTTGTTAGAACCCACATTAATCAGCTTTTGGAGAATACCACAAAGCTCATATTTATTCTCGGGAATTAGAGGAAGAGGCTGGTTGTTGGGATGGCTGTAGTAGGCTGTGAGTGCGCGGATATGAAATTAAGGAGACATGTTTTTTGTTATAATTATTGGCTATCCCATAGATGTATTAAATAACTTATTGGTTTAAGTGTAATGATGTTCTTGTCAGATTATAATTTATATTAAAAATACACAATTAAAAATATTAACTTGGGACAAATTACTAAAGTTTAATTTTAAATAAGAATACTCGATTGTGTGTAAAATGCCAGATTTTGAAAAGACTGCAACTCTTGCTGGTAAAACAAGTCACAAACTGTATTTCTCTCAGTGAGCTATTCAATAAACATGATAACTAGATGTATCATTGTACAGCTCAGTGTTATAGTTATTGCAAATATACAGTTTACATTTATTGTACTGAGTGATAATTCAAATTTCTGAGACCTAACTTAATTTGGGAAAATATAGGAAAGAGAGCAGTATGTGCTAGTAGGTATAATTAGATGATTTAGTTAAGGTAGTATAGAAGAGACATTTCAAATTAATACAAAATACATCCTTAACTGCAGTTACTTGATTATACTCTCCTATACATAATTCTCTCTGGGTATGTCTACACTACCACCCTAGTTCGAACTAGGGTGGTTAGTGTAGGCAACCGGAGTTGCAAATGAAGCCCGGGATTTGAATTTCCCGGGCTTCATTTGCATATTGCTGGGCGCCACCATTTTTAAATGTCCGCTGGTTCGGACTCCGTGCCCGCGGCTACACGCGGCACGAACTAGGTAGTTCGGATTAGGCTTCCTATTCCGAACTACCGTTACTCCTCGTGGAACGAGGTGTACCGGTAGTTCGGAATAGGAAGCCTAATCCGAACTACCTAGTTCGTGCCGCGTGTAGCCGCGGGCACGGAGTCCGAACCAGCGGACATTTAAAAATGGTGGCGCCCAGCAATATGCAAATGAAGCCCGGGAAATTCAAATCCCGTTGCCTACATTAACCACCCTAGTTCGAACTAGGGTGGTAGTGTAGACATACCCTCTTATAGTGAAGCTTATTTTTTTCATTATGAACATTTAGAGTCCAAGTATTCTTTTAGAATGTAGTAATTATTACCCACTGGCACCAGATAGTGTTAATCCACTTAAAATGCCACATTTATCACTTCCCTCTTTGAGAAAAGTAATAATAAAATCCCCTGGCTCAGGGTCTTGCTACATATATTCTGAACAGGGAGAGAAGTCTTGTTCTCTGTTCTTCAGGGAGTAAAAATACACAGGCTTCTACTGTATCTACCCTCTACACCAGGCATGGGCAATAATTTTTTGCCAGGGGCCACTTCAGAAATTTTTGAAGGGGCCCTGGGCCACACCAGAAGGGACGGGGTCTCAAACGGAAGGGGCGGAGCCAGGATACTTCCCTGCTTCCTCACCCACAGACCATGATTGGTCCAGGAGTAGGGGAAGTGCCTTTGCCCCTTCCAGAGGTTCCCCCTTGGTGCCCATGCCCCTAGCAGTGGGAGGAGACTTCACCTGCTCCCCCTTCTGCCCCCAGGCCAATCAGGGCTCGGGGCAGAGGAGTATGAGACGTCTCCCCCCGGCCCTGCCAGAAGCGTGTGGTACTTCTAAGCACTGTGCGCTCCTTGCAGGGCACGGGTAAGGTAGAGGAAACTTTGCGTGTTCCCTCGCCCCCCAAGACAATCAGGGTTCGGGGTGGGGGAGCGCACAAAGTCTCCTCCTGCCAGGGTGGAGTTAACTTCATGCGCTTCCTCCTGCCCCCACGCCCTAATTAGCCGAAGGGTGGGGGAGTGGCAGGGCCTCCGCGGGTTGGATCAACCGCTTGGCAGGCCGCATCTGGCCTGCGGAGGCCCTTTTGCCCGCCCCGATCTACACCTATAAGACATTCTGAGATTGAAGAGAATAGGATCTTTTATACACCTCTAATATTGGAAAAATTCTGCTAATAAAGTGAAGTGTTTTTGTGGAAGGGAAACCCTTCACGATAAATATGGTCCTGTACTATTTCAGGTAATGGAAACTTTGCCACTGACTTCAGTAAAGTTGGATAAGGACCTTTAAGAGAGGTGTTTCTGCACATATATTTTATTGTAGGATATCAACAATGTATTAAAAAGAGCTAACATCTAATGTAGTACTTTATGTGACAGACTACTTTGTAGTGTATTATGTATGGCTCCTTAGAGGCAAGCTTCATAGAGGACTTGTGGATTCACCACCCATTGGTAATGTAGCTATCTCAAACTCACGTTAATAAAAGCTATGCATCATTCCTGTATTTTTGTGAGTGTGTAACAAACATATGCTATATACAAATTCATTTTCTTTATATACCAAAATATATTTAAATAATTCAGGTAAATAGGATAGTAAACAGTTATCAGATGAAATTAATGCTATCAACAAGTTTGCTAGATATTTAAAAATACTGAATGAGAGTCATTTCACCTTAGCAGCAGCTTTTGGAAGATCAAATGGAATGCGTTGTCTAATTTTTGGAGGCAACTGGGTTAGAACATCATTCTTCAGGCGTCTGATCATTATGTTACTTAACAACTGATGCAATTCATCTAAGTGTGAAGCCCCTCTGCAGTCCCAATGAGCTCTTTTACCAAAAAACCTGAGAATGAGAAGGAAGAGGGGTGATGAAACTTGTTCTGCTAATTTGAATCAACATTTGCTTTAGTACACATTTGCTTTTATAACATGGGGCAAGATACCAATGTGTGCCAGAGCAGTACTCAGTGTACCTGGATATGAGGCAGATGTACTCTTCATTTCACTTCTGCCACTCCACAATCCCAGAGGCTGGTAGACCAATGTGTCCAGGGATAAATAAGAGCAACCTGGGCTGCTTAAATTTATACCAGCAGATAAAGGGACACAAGAAGCCTCTTCCCCAGCCCAAAGTATATTAAACTCTGGCCTGGTCCCATGCTGGAGATCCAGACGGAGCAGCCACAGAGCAGCATGTCTAGGCTAGAACGTCTTGGCTTTGGGTATGCCACCAGTGGCCAATATTTTTTTGCTGGAGGCCACTTCAGAAATGTTTGAAGTAGGCCCGGGGTTCACCAGAAGTGGCGGGGCCTCAAGCAGAAGGGACGGGACCAAGATACTTCCCTGCTTCCCCACCCACAGATCATAACTGGTCTGGGGGTGGGGGCAGCACATGAAGTCTTTCCCGCCCCTCCCTGGTTTCCCTGAAGCGCTCATGCCCCTAGGGATGGGAGGAGACTTTGCACAATCTCCCTTCTGCCCCCAGGCCAATCAGGGGTTGGGGGAAGGGGAGCACACAAAGTCTCCTCCCACCCTCCTCCTAATTGACTTGGGGGTGGTGGAGTGGCAGCACCTCTGGGGGGCTAGATCAACCTGCTTGGCAGGCCAGATCTGGCCCACGGAGGCCATTTTTCCCACCTCTGCAATAAAGGGAGCAAGTGGGGGTAAAGGTATCAGGCACCTCTGGAGATCGGGAGGAAGGCACTGTTTTTTGTTGTCATTGCTTCACGGTTGCTGTTCAATTGCCTTACACCTCCTTCCATTGGTTTGTACCCATTGCCTTGACTAATATTGTCTATAAATGGTCTCAGAACTCCTCTGTGTACAGTGGGTTTGTGTGTCAGGGGCTTCCGAATATGCATGAGCAAAAGAGTTGGTGAAGGGCTGTGGGCCTGACCCACAGAGAACGAGGTGCTGCCAGTACTAGGTTCCTAGTGCAGAGATGGGGAGGGAGTACTTTGGTATAGTACTTTCCTGATTGCCTGTGCAGCACAGCCGATATAGAGGATGATCGCCGTTTTGGCTCTGTTGCTATAAATGTCCTAAGAAATGCTGAAGGCAAGTCAAATGTTACTTTTACTTGTATTTCAAGGATTTTTAACAGCCCGCTTTCCTCTAGTTTCTCTGTTCCCTTGGGTACGTCTAGACTACAGGCTTTTGTTGACAGAGGCTGTGTCGACAGATACTGTCAACAAAGCTTCTGTCGACAAAGAGCATCTAGACTACATCCAGTTCTGTTGACAAAGCAAGCCTCTTTGTTGACATGAAAGTGTAGGCACAAAGGACAGTGTAGATGCAATAACGTCTTCTGTCGACAGAACTCTGTTGACAAAAGGCATTATTCCTCGTAGAATGTTTACTGCCGAGTTCTGTTGACGTTATGTCGACAGAACTCAGCGGTAGCATAGACGCAGGTATAGTTTTGTCAACAAAGTCCACTTTTGCCGACAAAACCCTGTAGTCTAGACACATCCTCGGTATTTAAATGTCGCCCCAACTGCTGAAGTTTTCCATCTGAACAGTCCTCAACTCTTTTGAACCTATTTTAGTGCTATTTAACCAATAGGCAAGACGGAAAGGACTCTTCTACACGGATGTTGAAAGTGGCCATTGTTGGTAGCATCGTATTTGCAGAGGCTGGCATAATCTGAGCATCTGAGTTGCTGTAGTTTGTGACCTGCTGTGGTGCTGGTACAGTTGATGCTGGTGCCATGCTTGGCACCAGGGCCACCAATTGTGACTGCTGTTCTATGGCACATGGAGGTATGAAAGTCACCAATGCTACCTACATTGCACCGGAGCACGAATCTTGCCTCCTGCTCTGATCTTGGTGAATGAGCCAGGGGTCCCAAATGGCCATTAGCTGTACATCATGATGTCAATCTTACGGAGGTGAGAGATCTGCTGCAGTCCCTGGAAGGACTGATGGGACAGGATGAGGGGGAGGAAGAGATCTGTGTTTCCCCTGGAACTACACTAGTGGTCATCATTTTTCTAAAAAAGAGATGTGTTAGGAACTATTTTGGGGAAGTTCTATGGCCTATGATGTCCATGAGGTGAGACTAGAGCAGTGGTTCCCAACCTTTTTTATACCTCAGACCGGCAAACTCATTAAAAAAATGTTGGAGGACTGACACTGAGATATTTGCATATTCATTAATTATTTGCATATTTGCCTATTCATTGCGGTGATTTTAAGAGCTCACGTGTTATTGTACATTGCATCTATATGCACACAAAACATATCATTGTAACAGATTTCTTTTTTATTGTTCCCCCCAACGAATTCGCTTTCCACATTAAAAAAAATACAAATAAAAATCATACTAAAAATTATTATGCATACTAATAATGCATAATGATAATAGGTGTGTGCACTGGCTGGGAGGGTCAGGCAGAGGCTCCTGATAAGCGGGGAGGGAGGAGAATGGGGTCGCAGGGATAGCCATTCTCCACGTAGTGCTTGTCCCTGGCTGCCGGGGCAGCCACTCTCCACATGGCGCTTGGTCCTGGCCGCTGTGCTGCAGCCGCTCATCATGCAGCCCCGCCAGCTGCACCATGTAGTGGTCACCAGAGCTGGAACTGGGACCAGGGTGAAGCTGGCCCACTTGGGGAAAATTTTTTGTGCATGTGCAAGCGCATACCTTCTGGGGAACCCCAGTGGGAAGGGCTCATTAGCAGCTGGGCACATGGCATGGCAATGTGCCGTGGCCCAGCAGGCAGGGGTTCATGGTCCACTGCTGGTCTATGAACCGGCGGTCGGGAACCATTGTTTTAACACATTAATATTTCTACAAAACAGTCATCATCAGCATTTACATTTTATAAAAACAATCCAATACATTTTAAAACAACTAATGAGAAAATGTTCTAGGCTAGTTAAAAGTAATTTACCAATAGCAGCCGGCTACATGCCCACAAAAATGATCCTTATGCATTTCACAGGGCACAAGAAAGCCTTTCACGGTGTCATGCTTCTGCCATGGTTAATTTGTAACGAAAAAGGTGCTGGGGTTCAAGCAATTTTTTTACATTCATAACTCATGAAGCAACCCGAGGATGTTGGAGCTATGAATTCCCAAGCCTAGAAGTGCTGGGGCTCAACCCTAGCACAAATGAACCACTGCCCCTTAGGCTCTCCTGCTTGAAGGCTCTAGGCTATTTCTGTACCTATGGCTTCAACAAGGCAACCAACTATTAAAGTAAGTTTTACTTTTAATTACTTTCTTATCAGGATTTCTCATTTATCACAACATGAAAAAACAAGATGTTAACTGAGAAATAAAAAGGCAAGTACCTGACATGAGCATTGCAGTATTGTTTTGCATATTCATTCCAGGTTCCAAATCTTCTTGGAAAAAGTGCCTCAATCTGCATGAAAAGCTGTACACACAGACACAAATATAAATAAATGAACATTAACCAGATTTTTCTCCAAACCCTTAGCTCAAGCACAATGTTTTAAAAACAATCTTCATTTAATCAATCATTTGTCTTCCCTTTTCTACAAGCTACATTACATAAATACAAAACTTGAAACAATAAAAACATTACATAGGAGACTTCATGTTCTCAGAGAGAACATCTGTGGAAAGCCCATGAAACTGAATTTCTAGATGGTGTGTCAGAGTAACCTTAAAAATGTAATTGAGGTCCTCAGGAAAATGGGGTAGGGGAGCAGAGGAATAATCTAAAATATTTAATATCAGAACCTGGAATGCCTTGTAAACATAATTAGGGCTGTTAAATGATAAGGTTAATTACACATTAATCACAGATTTATTAGTACTATTAACAACAGAATATTGTTTATTCAAATATTTCTGTTTTCTAGATTTTCAAATTACTGATTTCAATTACAACACAGAGCACAAAATGCTTATTTTGTATAATTTTATATCAAATATTTATATTTAAAAAAAGAAAAATCTAGTATTTTTCAATTCACCTCATACAAGCACTGCAGTGCAAGCTCTACTGTGAAAGTGAAAGGCATTTTGTTTTTTATCTGGCTAGCAAGTCTGCTGTGAAAAGTGATACTTGTATGTTTGTTAGTAACACTTTTCACAGCTGACTTACTCAGCCTCGACAAACCTGGTGACAAATTAAGCCCTGGCTGAGGAGTTGGAATAGACAGCAGGAGCCAGCAGAATGGCGCACAGAGTGGGGGAGGGAGAAGGTATCAGAGGAGCAATGGAAGCCAGTGGAAGCCAGAGGGATGGGGATAGAGCCAAATGTCACACAGCTCACTGGTGTACTGCCAGAGCCTAAAGCCCTGTGGCTGGAGCCTGCCACCTTAAAGGGGAAGCCCAAAGCATGAGCACCACTGCCCCTTGAAAATTATACATTATAGATCAGTTTTCCTTGAAGGCTAGCTTTCTGACTATTGGTATGCTTGAAAAAGTAAATACAGAAATATATTTTATAAAATCTCAATATAATCAACACAAAATTAAGCAACTTCTTTTGTTTTCTGATAGTCCCATAGAGTAATTGTAATAAGTGCATAAAATAATATGTATAGATGTTCAGGCTTAACAAAATGTTGTATTTCATGAATGAACCATCATCCTTTTGAAAAAGGATATATTTAATACCTCTTCTGGTCTTCCTAGAGCAGGAGTTCCAGTGAGAAGAATGGCTCGAGCAGCTTTCTGTACAATTGGCAACAAAATCTTGCTGCGGGTTGCATTTCTGGATTTCATATAATGAGACTCATCAACCACAACTACCTTGAAATTTTGTTTGTACAAAGTATCTACTAATGTCTGTGCATCTGTAGTTAGCAGGCCATAACCCAAAACTGTCACTCTGCTAGTTGATATTCTCCTAGAAAAGAAAATCCGGGGGTTTGGTTACTAATTTATCATAAAAAGACTAACCCAGAAAAGAAGAAAAAATAAATATGCTGAAGGAATGTTACAGAAACATCTCCAGTAAGAAAGTGTGCATGAGGATAGTTACAACTGAATCTGTAAAATCAACTACTGTACCTACTGGTTTAAATGTCCAAATTATATAATATCAATTGTTCAAATATCAGCAACATTGGAAAACTACACAGAGAAGTTCTATACACACTTCACATTTTCATAACAGATATTTATTTTATTTAAAATATTTTTTAAAACAATAAATAAATAAATAAAAATTAAAATACGAGATCCCAGAGGGACATAAAACCTGCTAAGACATCTCAGGTGTGTCTAGACTACATGCCTCCTTCGACGGAGGCATGTAGATTAGCCAGATCGG